CAATGCGTTACAAAATGCTTTCTTACAACTAAATAACAACCATGAGCATACTGTAGTTCATTGCAAAACCTATGTAGTACGTAAAAATGTGCTACAAAATATGCATCGCAAAATGCATGAGTGTGTGTATTGTGAAAATAGCTACATATTACTACGGCAAACACTCCCCCACACATATCCACGCGCACGCACGCATCTATACACAGCAGAACAAAATGTTGAAACTCGCGTCGTCAACAGTCATACAGATTTGTGTAGATGAAGGAATGTTGAATGTAAAATACGAGTATTGTAATAGCTATCTCATCAGATTGTTGTATACATAGGTCAATGTATATGTTTGTCACTGAAATCTTCGTACTAGTGTAATTTTTCACAAACATCGGAAGGTAGGTCAAATCAAATTTCATAAAAATAGTATATAGTATATAGTAGTCTTTAAATAAACGCAGAAGTAAATTAGGGCCTTTCTCATGCCCATGTCGTTTGAAAATTGATGCCATTGTTTATAAAGAAAAACTTACATTAAAAAACTTGCATGAAAGCATAGGTAATGCACTTTATTAACTAGTTGCCAAATTTTATATCTTATGTTATAATGTTTCGACCAACAAAAAATAAGATTAAAAAGTGCAGTAACAAACACTTTAAGACCACAATTGATATAAGGCTAATAAATCTCTGTTCTGAACTGCGCATTATTATAATGCCATACTTTTTCATAGCCGTGCCTCTTTCAAAAATGTAATTGCATGAGAGTATTTTGACACCACACCATTTGTGTAAATCTATTTATAATATAATGATATTTACTGTAACGGTTTTTGAATTATGTTTTTGATGACCAGAATATTATTTACTACATTTACATCATTTAACGAATTATCACAGATGTTTGAATATCTATTACTTTGTAAATCGAGAAAATCGAAAGAAAATGAAATAGAAAAAAAAAAGACACGCAGATATTTTATGTTTCACGATGATCTTTTTTTTAACAAATACGATAACAACGAACAAAGAAACAAGACAACGAGTAAACAGAGAAAATCTTTAATCTCGTAGGTACACTTTTGAAACACCTATATTCATTGATGCGCTACTTCCATGTTTGTATCATTTAAACCACTCACTCTAAAGCGGATCAACACATGTCTCGAATGAAAATGTTGAAGTGTCCGCGTTTAATATACTTGATAGCAATTTGTGTTGCTGCAATTTTACTAATGCAAAATGTAAAGGACATATCTGACAATTGGAATTATAGCGAAATATTTACAAAATATGAAAGAAATGAGAATATGGATGACAACAACAAGATGATTGATGATCTATATCAATATCTTATTCATTATCCTTCTAATTTGCCTTACAAACTTTCAAAGCCGCATTTAGAAAATCCATCGCATGGACAAACTCAGTTCGTAGATAGTTTGTTTAAAAACATGGTAGATATTCTTTTACATGATTAACTAGAATAACACATTTATTTTTACTTCATTTACTGATTAATGTTTTGTAAAGGTCTTTTTTTGTTAACCCTTCGTGTTGCATGATTTTAATTTGTAGATGACTTATATAGTATTTGAATTAACATTAATAACTGTGATAATATAGGATATCCACGTAGTAAATACTACAATTAAATAGCGAGGGATGTTAAACTCTTACTAACAAATATTTGATTTCAGATTAACGGATTTTTTATTGAATCAGGGGCTTATGATGGAGAACACTTGTCCAACACATTATTTCTTGAACGTTTTCGGAATTGGACGGGACTGCTTATTGAACCCAATCCATCACTATTTTTGAAACTTTTGAGAAAAAATAGAAAATCATACGCAGTAAATACATGCCTTTCAACAAAAGACTATCCATCGGTTGTAAGTATAAATATAATACTGATAATTTGTAAAGACAGACTAATGTTCACGTAACGTTATTTCATGTACGGAAATAGATAAAGTTGAATCATGCATTTATTAATAGACGGTAATATAATGTGCAATTTGATCGTATTAAAGTATGAAATATAGTACAACTACAAACGAAATATGCATACTCAATACAACGATTGTAAATATGTTAAGTCCACTTAAGTCAAAACAATTCAATGTATCACATATTACTTGTGTCTACTGTTGTGTTCATTAGTGATATAAGGTCATTAGAACTATGCCATTTAAGCAATTGTTTAAACACCTATGTAATACTTTGATCATTTGAAATCATGTTGAAATAAACTTAATGATCTTGTTCATATTATTCAGGAGACATTCTCTAGTGGGAAGGGTGCATGTTTTGGGCGTATATTAGATCACGAAGGAGAAAGTTCTCAAAACCAGACATTTAAAGTGAAGTGCTATCCTCTGTTTTCAATATTACAGGCAATTAACCGCTATGAAGTGGATTATTTCAGTTTAGATATAGAAGGTGCTGAAGAAGGGGTACTTAGTAAAATACCGTGGGAGAAAGTAAACATAAAGCTCATTTCAATAGAACACAATAAATGGCGTGGCGGTAAATTGAACCTCAAACATTTCATGGAAAAGCGAGGGTACAAATGTGTAAAAGAAATCAGTGATGTAGGTGTTGCTCCTGACTTGATATTTGAGAAGGAAACTTCTTAAGTTATGAACCTAACATTGCACATTATAATGTTGTTTTGTATCATTATGTACATCAAAATATAAAATATTAAAATAATTTACCATGTTGTTTTATAGCTACAAGTGTTGTTGTAAATACCCCATTTTAATAATTTAGCGGCAACATTGTCACTGTCATATTTTGCAAAATATTTCTTTTTTTCCTAAAAAAAGAACAAAGCAATGTGTGTCAGCATGTTTTCTATTCATCTGTATATGCACTGTACCCAAACACAACAATTCATGAATAATAAAAAGGTTTAAGAAAATATTACCAAAAATGTGAAACAGATTTGGTTCAAAAAGTCGCATTGCAGAATTTTGTTATGTTCCTTTTATTTTTTTCAAAGTTCAAAATTGTTACATGAAAGTGCCTGTATCTATGAAAATTTGACACCAACGTTTTTCTGAATGTGTGAGCAATAACATATGTAAAAATCAGAAACTTTTACCGTTCAGTTCCTTTTAGACAAGAACAAAAACAAGATGACCCCCTTGACTTTTGATAGCCATATTTTCTTGAAAAATGCTTAAAATGTCTTGAACAACTGTTAAACATACACTTTGCATTTGAGTCTTGCTATACAAATACATCAAATGAAAAATGTTTTACAAATAAATAAAACAACAACTTAGTTTCACTTATTACAGAAGAAGAGTTACGATAAAAAAAATCCAGAATTATCATACATGACTTATTATTTGCAATCGAAGTATGACACTAACTTTGGAATAACGGATTCCAAAACTCTCTTAGAATTGGTCACTCTTGGCGACCTATCACTATTTTTCATAGTACCCTTACCAAAAAAAGGGCTCTCTGGTGAACATTGCGGCAAGTTTGCCGCAAACATTGCGGTGAGTTTGCAGTAAACTGCTTTCAGCAATTATTTACCATGCAAATGAGGTTTGCGGCAAATTTGCCGCAACTAATGAGGTTAGCGGCGAATTTGCCGCTAACTATAGGGGGAGGTAGCTTCTGTTTGCGGCAAATTTACTGCAAACCTCATTTGCATGGTAAAAGTTTGCAGATGTTCGCCAAAAGTTTGCGGCAAATTTGCAGCAAACTTCATTTGCATAGTAAGTTTGCGGAGGTTCGCCAGAAGCTTTTGGTAACACTGCGGCAACTTCATTTGCATATTTGCCAGTTTCAGCAAATATGTTATGGCGATATTTTTGGCGAACATTTTGGTAAAGTTCTGGCGAACAATTTTTTCAAACATTGGAATAATTAAAACTAGCTGAATTATAAGAAAACAAATACATATTGGTTTAACACATTTTTCAATAGAAAAATAAAAGAAATATTACAAACATATCAGTAGAATAAAATGAAATTTGATCAATTTGTAAAATAATGAAATTAATTCCCGAATTAAAAAAAGAGATAAATTTTACACACATTTTATTAGCAACTGATTCTATACATATTTGACTTTCATAATTTCCAACTCTTTCGTTATGATGTTATCATGAATTGTTCATATTACTTAATACAATCAATTAAACAAGAGCCGGTCTTGAACCGGGTGATCCTCCCCGACTAGGATTTGGACACAGAAAAGTATATCTTTTGTAGTTTCAGGGTTATGTTCCAGACAAAGTTCAAAGTGTGATGATTCCAAAATAGTTTGTAAAATCCCACTTCAAATAACGACGTTATGGCCAGACACATTTTTGCTTCAAGGTCATGCTGTGACCTTGACCTTCAAGGTAATGACCCAAATGTTGCGTGTGACACATCGTCTCAATATGGTGATCATGTCGGTGAAAAAGTTGTAAAATCCGACTTCAAATAAAACCAATTTTTTTTTTTTTTATGGGCCGGACACGACTTTGCTTCAAGGTCATGTTGCGACCTTGACCTTCTAAGTATTGACCCAAATGGTGTGTGCGACACATCGTCAATATGGTGATCATTTCTGTGAAATAGTTTGTAAAATCCGACATCAAAATAACCAAGTTATGGGCCGGACACAATTTTTGTTCGAGGTCATGCTGTGACCTTGACCTTCAAGGTAGCGACCCCAAATGTTGCGGGCGACACGTCGTCTCAATATGGTGATCATTTCTGTGAAATAGTTTTTAAAATCCGACTTGAAATAACGAAAAGTTATGGGCCGGTACGAATTCGGGTTCGTGCTTACGCAAAAGACAGACGGACGGACAACCCGATGACTGGATATTGCTCCCCCGAAATTTTTTGGGGAGCAAAAAACAATGTTTGACAATAGCTAGTATTCAGCACATGTTGCAGTATTTCTTAGCACCAAAATTGGGAAATATAATATTGTTGTAACAGCTAAAAATCAGTATTAATAACAATAAATACTAACAATAGCGTTATGTGTTATGCAAAAACAGACTAGACCAATAATGTCTTTCAAAAACTGTAAAAATGAATCTCAAAAATATATGTTGGTCTTATACAAACAACATATTTCATGGACATAATACCTTAAAATTTAAACTCATGTCATATAACATAATGATTGTGAGCAAAACAATAACTGACACGAACAATAATGGCTTTCAAAATAGTAAAAATGAATCTCTACAATATATTTGGGTCTTATACAAACAACATATTTCATAGACATAATACCTTAAAATTTAAACTCATGTCATATAACATAATGATTGTGAGCAAAACTATAACTGACACCAACAATAATGGCTTTCAAAATAGTAAAAATGAATCTCTACAATATATTTTGGGTCTTATACAAACAACATATTTCATAGACATAATACCTTAAGATTTAAACTCATGTCATATAACATAATGATTGTGAGCAAAACAATAACTGACACGAAACAATAATGGCTTTCAAAATAGTAAAAATGAATCTCTACAATATATTTGGGTCTTATACAAACAACATATTTCATAGACATAATACCTTAAAATTTAAACTCATGTCATATAACATAATGATTGTGAGCAAACAATATCTGACACAAACAATAATTGCTTTTAAAACAGTAAAAATGAATCTCAACAATATATTTGGGTCTTATACAAACAACATTTTTCATAGACATAATACCTTCAGATTTAAACTCATGTCATATAACATAAAGATTGTGAGCAAAACAATATCAGCATGGAATAAAATTCTTGTACAACTTTTTTGACCACCAAAGGAACATTTCTGTGAAGTTTGCATGAAATTGGCTTGGCAATTTATGAGATGTTGTTTAAAGATCAAGTTTACGGACGAAAGATAGACAAAAGCTCGCCATGTCACTTTGTAAGCTAAAAACGCAAAAACTTTAAAATTTTTCCCACTCTTCCAAGTTTCATCCCGGGCCCTTTGTGTGAAAATTTTGGTTTTTACTGTTTTTTGGGTGACTAAAACTAAAATTCCATAAAAAGTTTATTAGGGAAAAATAACTAAAAAAACCAAGGTTTTTTTTTCCCAATTTACATTTACCATGTTTAAAACGGGGAAAAAAACCCGAAAATTATAAAAACCTGAAGGTGAATGAACCAAAAAACCCCCCCAAAAAATTTAAAAGTCCCAGTAAATCTTTAGTAAAAGCCCAACCTAAAAATTGGAAGAAAAAAAAAACCATAGGCAGTTTTAAAATTTTTTTGGTCAAAAAAAACTGGTGGGCTTTTTTTTATTTTTGGGGGGATAACATGTATTCTTCCCAAAACCAAATTTTTAAATTTAAAAATGACAATTGGCTCATGTGTAAGTTATTTAATTAAATTAATTCTAACATAATTTAAGGGAAATTTTAACATATTGTGTTAAAAAAACACCAAAAATTAACAAACAAGAGCGATTCACCAGTGATCACATTGCGCTCATGATGCCCCCAATTTCATGTTGGGACAATTTTGTGACATACGGACAGCAACAGATGACAGTGCACAACTAACTTTACTAATCATCCTTAAAGTTTGGATTAAATTTAAACCAGAGTTTTTGAGATAGTCCGGGGACAAGCTTTTGAGTAATTCTGGCAACAACAAGAAATAAAAACCTTTTCAATCAAACTTGCCAAAAAAATCATTAAAACCGAGAAAAACCTGTGCCCCAATACAGCGAAGGGAAAACTTGAACGACAACAAATCATCCTTTAATTTCATTGATAATTGCATTTGTGTCTTATAAGAGAAGTAGTCCAAAAAAATTTAAAAAAAGGGCCAAAACCTTAACAAAATTCAAAAAAACCGGGAAAATTGACAATATGCAAACAAAGTTTGGTACTGACCCCTTTCCTGTAAATTTTTGGATAAAACCCCCACCAGTATTTTTGGGAGGAGTATCGGACAACTTTGTGTTTTGGGCCAAACAACAAAAAAAATTCCAAAACCCACCTTTTTTTAAAAGGGCAAAAAATTTCCCCCCCAAAAACTTTAAACCGGGGAAAACCCCTTTGCAATATGCCCCAGGCCCTTAGCTACAAAAATCCATCCTGTTAAATTTCCATTGAAATTGCTTTTGGGGTTTTAAGAAAGTAGTCCAGACAAAACTTTAAAAAATAAAAATTATTAAAGGGCCATATGATAACTCTGACAAAATCATTGAACCGATAAATGCTGACAATATGCACAACTAGACTTGGTACTGATCATTCCTGTAAAGTTTGGATGAAATTGCACCAGTAGTTTATGAGGAGTAGTCCGGACACAGTTTTTGTGAACGGACGGACAGACAGACTCGACGACGGAGAAATGATCCCTATATGTCGCCACTACTCCGTAGAGGCGACACAAAAATGATGCATGCTGTGAACATCATAGCCAGGTCAGAGCTCAAAGTTAAAACCAGGGTAATTCAAATAACCATTAGGATTTTTCTTCTAAATGCCACTGTTTGAAAGAACAATGTTGACTAACCAGTCTTTACTTGCATGCAAAACTCACTTTTTCAATTATACATCAATAACAGTGGTTAAAATACACACAGATACTTTTCTGACAAATTTCTAAATCATTACTGACATGATAACTGAGAAAAACTAGAAATGTGTCCATAGGACACGGATGCCCCCACACGCCACTGTTTTGTCAATCTTATGACTCTAGGTCAAATAGTTTTTGGACTACATGTGCCACAAGTTGAAAATTAAAAATCACCAAAGGGACATAATTCTGTTAAATGTGGTCGCAGCAAAAATT